CGGCATCGTTGTGCCCGTCGCCCCCCCAGCCGCCGCCCCGCGACCCCCCCGCGGCCCTGCCCGCGGCGCGCCGCGCGGCCCGCGCCGCCACCCGTCTGCGACCCGCGACCTCCTCGCCAGACTGCAAGGTCCAATGGTGCTCGCCCGCGGGCAACTGGTGAAGAAGGCCCCCCCCGCCCTCCGCCCCCCCTCCCCGAGTTCGTTTATCGAGTCCTTCGGGGGGGCGCGTCCACTGCTGCCCCCCCGGGCGCTCTTTCGCGCCGCGGACCGCTCGCGATCGCGCGGGGGGAGGGGGGTCGTCTCCCCCTCGCCGCCGCGTCGCCCACCCATCCCTCCGATGTTTTGATTTGAACACTGCGCGTGCCACTTGGCCCCTTTTCCCAGTGATTTGTTTCCGCCGCCGCTGCTGCCACCTGCGAGCTCGGCGACAGACTCCGACCCCCCCCCCCCAACAAAAAAAAGTCGTTGCCATCGAGCGCCGGCTTTCGAGGTGCTCTGAACGCGACCAGATGGACAGCCGCAACATTCCAACTCAGTCGACGCTTCAAGCCTTGAGGCGCGCGAGCGGCCTCTCGCTGTTCCTCGTCGATGCGTGGGTGAGGTGAGTATCTGAGATTGACAGTATCTACGCTTGGCTGTGCTGTTGGCAGCGCTGCATCCGTCGCCCCTTCAGCTGCCGCCCCGCGACCCCCCGCGGCCCGCCCCGCGGCGCGCCGCGCGGCCCGCGCCGAACAACCTTCTGCGGCCCGCGCCCTCTTCGGCAGACCGCGGAGTCCAATGGGGCGCGGGCGAACGGCGACGACGGCCGCGAGCGGGCGATGCCCCCAGTGCGTTGTGCGGTAGACTCTCGCTCGCAGGACAGATGGCGCCCCCCTGCCCCCTCCCTCTGCCCCCCCTTCCTCCTTGGTCTCGTTTGTCGGCTCCCGCGGGGGGCGACGCCCGTTCCCTCCCCCCTTTCCGCCCCTGCGCTATCTCGCGCCTCGCAGCGGTCGCGATCGCACGGGGCGCGGGGGGCACCGTCTCCAACCCAGCGCCGCGCCATCTGCCCAGGCCTCCGATGTTCCGATTTGAACACTGCGCGTGCCACTTGACCCCTTTCCAAGCGACTTGTTTCGGTATCAAATATTTGTTCGGTTTTGCGCCGCTGCTGCTGCTACAGCCTGCCGGCCCGGCGACGGACTTTGCCCCCCCCCCCCCCCCCCTACATAGGCGCTCTGAACGCGGTCAGATGGCCAGCCGCAACAGTCCAACCCAGTCGACTTCCGAATCATGAGCCTTGAAGCGCCCGGGCAGCCTTTCGCTGTTCCTCGATGCGTCGATGAGGTGAGGCTCTCGGGTCGACAGAATCTGCCCTTGGCCGCGCCGTTGACATCTTTGCGCCAGTCGCCCCGCCAGCCACCGCCCCACGACGACTCCCCTCCCGCGGCCCGCCCCGCAGCGCGCCCCGCGGCCCGCGCCGCAACCCTCCTGCGACCCGCGCCCTCTTCGGCAGACCGCAGGGTCCAATGGGGCTCGCCCGCGGGCGCCTGTCGAAGGAGGGCGCGAGAAGGCGATGCCCCCAGTGCGTTGCGAGGTAGATTCCTCTCGCTCGCAGGACAGAGGGCGCGCCCCCCCTGCCCTCCGCCCGCCCCGCCTCCTCGAGCTCGTTTGTCGATTCCTCTTGGGGGGGGCGTCCGTCGCCCCTCCCCCTGGCACTCTTCCGCGCTCCGTAACGGTCGCGATCGCACGGGGGGCGCTGTCTCCGGCTCGCCGCCATATCATCTACCGAGACCTCCCGTGTTTTGATCTCAAGTCGTAGTTCGGTTTCGCGCCGCTGCTGCCGCTGCAGCCTGCAGGCTCGGCGACGGAGTCTGCCTCCCCCAAAGCTGGTGCTATCGAGTAGCGGCTTGGCTCTCTGAGCGCGATCAGTGGGTCAGCCGCAACAGTCCAACTCAGTCCACGCTTCAATGATCAAGGCGCGCGAGCGGCCTTTCGATTTTCCCCGATGCGTGGATGTGGTGAGGTTTTGAGGTCGACAGAATCCACCCTGGGCCGTGTTGTTGGCAGCGTCGCGCCCGTCGCCCCCCCCAGCCGCCGTCCCGCGACCCCCCCGCGGCCCGCCTCGCAGCGCGCCCCGCGGCCTGCGCCGCAACCCTTCTGCGACCCGCGCCTTCGGCAAACCGCCGGGTCCAATGGAGCTCGCCCGTGGGCGACTGGCGAAAAAGGGTGCGAGCAGGCGATGCCCCCAGTGCGTTGCGAGGTAGACTCCTCTCTCCTGCAGGACCATTTGCGCCCTGTCTCTCCGCCGTTCTCCCCCTCCCCCTCCTCGAGGTCGTACGTCGGTTCCTTCGGAGAGCGACGTCCGCTGCCCCCCCTGCGCTTTTCCGCGCCCCGCGACGGTCGCGACCGCGCGCGGGGGGGTGCCGTTTCCAACCCAGCGCCGCGCCATCTACAGTCCAACCCAGTCGACATTTAAAGGATCAGCCATGAAGCGCGCGCGGCTTTTCTCAGGGCGAGGTTCTGAGGTCGGCAGAATCTACCCTCGGCCGCGCTGTCGGCATCGTTGTGCCCGTCGCCCCTCACGCCGCCGCCCCGCGACCCCCCCGCGGCCCGCCCCGCGGCGCGCCCCGCGGCCCGCGCCTCACCCCTTCTGTGGCCCTCGCCCTCCTCGGCAGAAAGCGGGGCCCGAGGGGGCTCGCTCCTGGGCAAACAGCAAAGAAGGGCGAAATTAGGCCATGGTCCCAGTGCGTTGCGAGGTGGGCTCCTTTCGCTCGCCGGACAAATGGCTTCTCGGCGGTCCTGGAGGCCGCTTGGGGCGTTTGGGGTGCCTCGGGGGGCCTCTTCGGGCCTCTTGGGAGTCTCTTGGGAGGTTTTTGGAAGCCTCTTGGGCGCTTCTTGGGACTTCCTGGGCGCCTCTTGGGGCCCGCTTGAATCGCGTTTGGGGGCCTTGGGACCGCTCTAGGGCCATCTTGGAGGAGATCGATCAAGAAAAAAGGGGAGAGCTCCAGGAGCGCTCTTGGGAGCCTTGGGAGCGCTCTTGGGGTCTTTGGAACGCTCTTGGCGCCATCTTGGAGGTGACTGATTTTGCGCCATGTGCGCGTGCGGCCGTGCCCCTGGAACGCCCAGGTCACGTCCAGTTGCGCTGCCGCGCGATTCCGCCAACGCGCTGGAACGGCTGCCTGGGGGGGGCCTTCCCGGAGGGTTGTTGGGCCCCCCCTTGGAGCTTCTTCGGGATTTCTTACGCCGTGTCAGGGCGATTTTGCCCCCTCTAGCGCCCGCGGGGACCGCGGCCAGGTTTTCCCTGGGCCGCTCCGGGGCCCTAGAGGAGCGCTTCAAGACAATATTGGTGAGTTCTTGGGCTACAGTGGGGCCGTCGTCACGTTTCCTTGGGGCCGTCCGGGGGGCGTCGTGGGATAGCTTAGGTCGTTTTCGGGCCGTCGTTGGGCCTTCTTGAAGGTCCCTTAGACTGTCGGGAATTTTCCTGGACGCCGATCGGGCCGTTTCGTGGCGTCGGAACTTGGAAGCGTACGGTTGGCCGCGCGTGGTTTTGCGCTGCAAGCCGAGATCGCGCCGTTGATTTTAGTTGTTGTTGCTGTCCTTACTCGCCCTTTCGCCCGCGCGTCAACCGTGCCCCGTGCTTGTTACAGAAAAAGTGGTGCGTGGTGGTGTTATTCGTTTTCTTGGTGCGAGCCCTCGTTTTCGCCGTGCGTTTTCGGCGTGCGGAACTATTATTATCGCAGCGTCCAGTGGTTGTTCTACCTCTGGGGCGCGTATCCTTCGCATCGCTTTGTTTTGTGTTGTTTCTGAGATGTTTGATCTTTACTCCAGATATGTGTAGTCGGACGATAACCTTGGACTTTATGGCTATTTGTTGATGCGATTATTTCTACAGCATGAATGTTACCCCACCCAACCATTTGACACCACTGGCAGATGCACTGCTACATTCTTGGAGTTTGTGTTCACAGACGCCTGATGGCCACGCGTCCTCGTCGTCGTCGTCGTCGTCCTTTCCCCTCCTCGTCTCGCGTCCTCCCCGTTCATGTCCTCGCCCACGTCGTCGTTGTCGTCGTCGTTCTCCGCCGTCGCCGTCGCCGTCGTGGTCGCCGTCGTCGTCTCTGCCTGGCGCTATATGTTTCACAGCAGTGCCGTTGGAAGTGTGCTACCGGCGGCCGTTTCACATGTGCCAACGCACCTACGATTCGCACGGCGTTGTTCTCTCTCTCTCTCTCTCTATCGGTTTCTCGCTCTCTCTCTCTCTCTCGTTTTATCTCTCTTTCTCTCTCGCGCGCTTCTCGGATGGCCACCTAGATTGTACCCCCAAGCTTTGGCACATTGTGATGACGCGAGCCTGTGGCGAGAGAAGCAGTCCATGCGGTGCTCACAGGCACGCTGTGCTCGCAGGTCCACCGAGGTGTTCACAGGCATGCTGTGCGCATATTGTGGTGATGTGGCATTGTTTTGGACCTCCAGAGGCCTCCAGAGAGACTTTCGTTTGCTTCTGAAGGCCTCCAGAGAGACCTCCGAGGGCCTCATTGAAGCGTCTGCACGCCTTCGTCCTGTGCGTCGCCGTCCTGTTCGTCATCGTCGCGGCCGTGGCCTTGGTCGATGCTGCGCGTCTACAGTTGCATGTTCGCCGCCGCCACAGTCCTCGCCACCCACTCTCTGTGGAGCCCCCCTTTCGCCGCCCCCGCTTCCCCACCCCCTCCCAGGGTCCTCCTCCTCGTCCTCCTCTTCGTTCTCCTCCTCCTCCTCAGTCTCCTTCTCCTCCTCAGCCTCCTCCTCGGCCTTCTCCGCCCTCGCTCCTTCTTCGGGGCTCGGGAGGCGGGGGTCCATGCAAACGGGGGTCAGCCAGAGCGCTGGATATTGCAGGATCCTGCAGGGTCAGGGCTGCACTGACCCTGGTCTGGGTGCAGGATCCTGCAGGATCTTGCAGGATCCTGCAAAGCCTGACTGGCCCGGGGCTGCATTGTTCTGGGTCAGCAGATCTCCGAGTTTCTTCTCGCCAGCGCGCTTGCCAGACGTCTGCGTACCAGACCCTGCTGTTGCTGGACGATGATCACAGCAGCATGTTACAGATCAACCTAGATGCGCGCAGGGGGGCGCTCAGGGAGAGCGCATACCAGAACTGCGGCAAGGATCGGAGGGCGGAGAATGTGGACGATTATGATGATGATGATGATGATGATGATGATGATGATGATGATGATGATGATGATGATGATGATGATGATGATGATGATGATTATGATTATGCTTATGATTATGATTATGATTATGATGCTGATGATGGTGATGGTGATGATGGTGATTATGATGCTGATGATGCTGATATTGACGATTATGTTGATGATGAGGCTGATGCTGATGCTGATGCTGCTGGTGCTGCTGATGATGATGATGATGATGATGATGATGATGACGACGATCGTCTGGATAATACACAAGCAACAATCATACCAATTAACACTCATAACACAATATAGAGAAGGGACACAAGCATAATGAACGATCATGCAAACATCATGAACACGATGTTCGGACGTCAGCGTGGCTTTGTTGGGCCGACAGTAGATGCAGAGGGAGATAGAAAGAGAGAGATATAGAGAGGGAGACGTAGAGGGCGCGGATGCTGGGGCCAGGTGTTGTTATGTAGGGAGGGGGTCGTGTAAGTTGGTTGCTCGATGAAGCAAGAGGGGGAGACGGGGAGAACGCGATAAGGATGGCCAGCGAGTGAGATGGTGCTGTTATCTAGTGAGGGGGTCATGTAAGCTGGTTGTCTCGATGGAGCGAGAGGGGGAGACGGGGAGAACGAGATAAGGATAGTCAGCGAGTGAAAGAGAGGGAGAAAGAGAGAGAGAGAGAGAAAAGCACAACGAAAGAACTGACGAAATAAATCATGAGAGAGCGTGAGATACACAGAGACATACTTACAGACGGTCAGACAGAAATGCAGACAAACACAGACAGAGAGAGAGAGGCAGAGTAAGTTTCATATCTATGGATGATTCTGGGAAGCAGTGCGGTCATTAAGCAGGGCAGCGGGTATCTTCCGATGGTCGTCTCCATACAAGTTTAGTGGGAGGTGCAACTTTATGACATTGAGTGCCGCCACCTCAAGGCATCACGCGCTTTGATCGTCACGACGTTCAGAACACACGTCTTCCACCATACATGTCTACCTTTATGTGCACATGCTTTCTGTCGGCCCAACCTTCGGTAATGACCGCTGCGGCACGCGATAACGTACCCACGTTTTATTCCAGAGTTTTACTCTAGTCTGCCGACCCCCAGAAGAGGGGAGAAGTCCACGGGTGAATCCTCTGGGGGCCTCTTGGAGTCCTCTTGGGGGCCTCTTGGGGGCCTCTTGGGGGCCTCTTCGGGCCTGGTGGAAGTTTCTTGGGCGCCTGCTGGCGGTCTTGGGGGGTCTTCTTGGGGCGGAGGGCTCGGAATGCCAGTTCGAGTTGCCTCTTTGGGGCCCCTCTGCTGCCCTCTGGGGCCATCTTGGGCGCCCCTTGGACCGTTTTGGGGCCCTCTTCGGCCGTCTTGGGGCCCTCTTGGGGGCTTTGGAGCCGTCTCGGAGCGATCTTGGGGGCCTCTTGAGCCGTCTTGGACGCTGCCAGGACCAAAAATGCAAACATGTTGAAAAGACACAGTTCTCCGAAAGATGGGAACCCTCTTGGAGCCCTGTTTGGGTGTCTTGGAGCCCTCTTGGGGTGTCTTTGAAGCCTCTTGGCCAGCTTTGACGCTCTCCTGGTTATTTGTGAGACCTCCTCAGCGTGTAGGAGCACAGCCAGAGCCTGCGTAAGTATTGGACATCCTGGAGGCCACGATGTGTCGATCTGTAAGCTCCGGAGGCCCCCTCGGGTGCGTTGGCGAGCGCTGGCCCCCAGCCCCCGCCCCCCCCGATCCCCTCTCTCCATCGCGATTTTGGGTTTTTGTGCCGGGGGAAGACAGGACAGGACAGGAACCGCTCAGCGAGATCCATCGACTGCTGCATGACTCAAAATTGCAGTGGACCTCAGGCGGAAAGGTCTCCGCTTCAGGAGACGAGTCGCACGACTGCTAGTTGTCTTCCCCTGCCAGAGAGGGAGGGGACGGCGAGAGAAGGCGGACGGGATGGGAAAGGGGGCGAGCGAGACATCCAGATGTCTCACACGCCTTCCCACCCCCTGGCAAGCGGGGGTCGACGGATTCAGGCTGTGGCGAGGAGGGAGCGGGGCCACCTGCCATCACGTATAGACGTGTGTTCCACCCCTCCGCCCCTCTCTCTTTCTCTTCTGTGCCGCCCTTCTTCTACCTCCTCCCACTCTTCCCTTCCATGCCACAGAGCACTCACGTGCTTTAGGCGTTGTTGCCCCTTCAGGTGTTCGTAGTCGTCATCCCTTCCAGTTCCACCATCCTGAACCAGATCCTCTTCCGACTCTTCCATTCGTCCTCGCCGAATGTTCGTGTTTTGCCTCCCCCGCCCGCCCGCCTCTCTCTCAACTCTTCTCCCTCCTCCCATTCAAGCTTACTCAACAGGTCAGCATGAATACGAGGCTCCTCTCCCAATAATATGCTTAAGTTGGGCGTCTCCAATATTAGTCGTTTCATGTGTTCGATGATGGTTTTTTTCGTGTCGGTGCTGCGTTATTTCTGGATCGGCGCTTTGCTTTCGTGGTTCAGATCGGCGCTCTCGCCACAGCGTGAGCCACTTGAGCCACCCTTCCGGTTCCAAGTCCTTCCTCGTCAGTGTCGCCCCCGCCTTCCTCGCATCGGTCTTCCCTTGGCCATCCTGCATATCCCACTCTTCTTGCTGTGGCCGCTGTTGTTTGTCCTTCTGCTCCTTCTTCGTTCTCCTCTTGTTCCTCCTGCGCATCCTCCTGTTCATCAGCCACGTCATCCACCAATGTACACAGCTTAACTTTCTATTTGCGCATAAAACGATGAGGTCATTCTGGGCGGCTCAGGCAGCTATGACATCTGTCGGCAGATGGTGGAAGCATTTGCGCAAGGTGACAGTATAGGCGGGAGGGGTCGGATGTGAGTTATGGCGTGAGGGCACCTACAAACCCCCGATTAAACAGACTTGGGGTTTTCATGTTGGGACCTGTGGCCGAAAAAAGCGGAGAACGCGATTGAAGTAGAGTCTTGGTCGCATTGGAAGGAGGCGCGCGCGCCATGAAGGGCTCATCGACACTAATCGGCTACTGACTAACCGACATGAAGACCGCACAAGGACGCAAGCTGCCCCACCCCTCCCCCCCGAAAACAAACTAACTCGCGGACGAGGGCAAGGCAATGCGTAGGTCTTTTGACCCCTTGCGAGAGATTGGCTCCAAGAGCTCATCTCGCCAGCCGCGCGCAGTCGCGCTTGCTACGCAAGTCGGGGCGACCTTGCGCACACAGCCGATGATTCGAACGAACTCGCGACGACGACCGCCAAGAGAAATAATCAAAGATTTTTAACCGGTGGGTGGTAGTTTGTCTCCGTCCACCATCCCCTTCCATCCAGTTTCCTCCCCCATCCCTCCTCCATCCCGCCCCTCCTACACCTGCCACCTCCGACTGCTTCCGCCTCTCCCCTCTGGAGGGAGAGGAGTAAGAGGGGGGAGAGAAAGAGCAGGAGGGAGGATGGAAGCAGAGAAGAGCTGGAGGAGCGGGAGGAGGTGGAAGAAGAGGAGATCCTACCCTTCTCCTTGTTCGAGGGACGGGGAGCGGGAGGATGAGCCGGAGCAGGATCACCCGCAACAGCTGGGCCACATTAGGTTTGCACGGTCTTAGAGTCTCAGGTGATGGTGGGGAGTTCCCCCCCACGCCTTTTTTCCTCCATCTCTCTTCCTACAGAATAGCTCCTCCGGGTCGCACCACCAGGTGTGTCCGTAGTGTGGGTCGAGACTTTCGCTTGGGAGTTCTTCACCGTGTGCGATCCTGAAGATTGAACATTGGAACAGTCTCAAGGATGCATGGCCGATGGTTTTTCAAGTTTGGCAATTGCCTCTGAGCCGTACACATTCGTCTTCTTACATGGGGTGGAACAAACCTCTCCTCCAGGTGATGCGAATGTGCATAACGTTCCATGCAAAAGAACACATCGCCAGATGTGCGCGATCAGCGCTGCCCTCATCCCCGCTGTGCCTCCCAGGAGCCAACGAAACTGACGAGGGTCGAGCATTTCGTAGCCTCCCAGGGAGCCACGCGGTCTCAGCCGGATCCGCGTGGCCCCCCCGCTCCGCTTGGCTTCCCAGGAGCCCACAAACATGGCGACAGCTGCGCGGATCGCAGCCACCCAGGGAGCAACGAGGTATCGTCTGGGTGCGCGTGGCCTCCGACTCTGGTGGACCTCCCAGGAGCCCACGAAAGTGGCGACAACTGCGCGGATCGAATCCACCCTGGGAGCAGCGCGGCCTCGGCTGGGTGCGAGTGGCCCCCCCCCCGACTCCGCTGGACCTCCCAGGAGCCAACCAGAAGTGGGGAGAGTTGCGCAGATCGCAGCCACCCAGGGAGCAGCGATGTCTCGGCTGGGTGCGCGTGGTCCCCCGAATCCGCTGAACTTCCCAGGAACCCGCGAAAGTGGCGACGATTGCACAGTTCGTAGGTTCCCAGTGAAGTGCGAGGTCTCGGCTGGGTGAGCGTGTTCCTCTGCTCCGCCGTGCTTCCCAGGAGCCCACGAATGTGCGACAGTTGCGCAGGTCACAGCCTCCCAGGGAGCTGCGAGGTATCCGCTGGGTGCGCGTGCTCCCCTTCTCCGCCGTGCCCCCGCGGAGCCCACGAATGTGGCGACAATTGCGCAGTTCGCGTATCCCCCAGGGAGCAGCGAGGTTCGTCTGGGTTCGCCTACTCCCCTACTCCTGCTGGAGCTCCCAGGAACCCACGAACGTGGCGACAGTTGCGCAGCTCGCAGCAACCCAGGGAGCAGGGCAGGAACAGGAGGCAGACCGCAGGAGGAGGGAGGCAGGAAGGAAAACAAACGGGAGGAGGTGGTGGAGACCTTTGTGTTCTATCGAAAACGAAATCTCAACACAGCAGGGGTGGGAAAAAGCTTGCAGCAGTTTCACTGATTCGTACGGCTTGATTCCCAGGAGTTGTGTTCTGGCACGATTTAGGATCGCCAGGGTTCAACAGTCACGTTGATACGCGATGTTCAAGTATCATGGACCGTGTTCTGACACGGCCTAGGATTGTCAGGTCGCAACAATCAGATTGGCTTTGACGTCCCAAGGGTTGAGATTTGGCGCGATGGAGGATTCTCAGGCGGCTGTCTTCCAATGAGGCTTCGCCCATAATGAAAATAGATGTTCGCAGGGATCCATGAAGGAGGAACATGCAGGAAGGATGTTTTAGAACATCGTTGAGGCGTCTAGGGTTTCCATTGGGTCTCCTCCTCCTCATCATCATCCTTCCGCTTGGGTTACGACATTCATGTAACCGTTAGGGCGGGTTGGGGCCCCGAAATCTCGGCTTTGGATCGTTCATGGTCGTCTTCAGGGCGTCGTCATATCAGCAACGAAGACACGCCCGCTGAATAGTAGCAGTAGTAGTCGTAGTAGTAGTAGTAGTAGTAGTAGTAGTAGTAGTAGTAGTAGTAGTAGTAGCAGTAGTAGTAGTAGTAGTAGTAGTAGTAGTAGTAGTAGTAGTAGTAGTAGTAGTAGTAGTAGTAGTAGTAGTAGTAGTAGCAGTAGTAGTAGTAGTAGTAGTAGTAGTAGTAGTAGTAGTAGTAGTAGTAGTAGTAGTAGTAGTAGTAGTAGTAGTAGTAGTAGTAGTAGTAGTAGTAGTAGTAGTAGCCAGTAGTAGTAGCAGTAGCAGTAGCAGTAGCAGTAGCAGTAGCAGTAGTAGTAGTAGTAGTAGTAGTAGTAGTGTAGTAGTAGTGTGTAGTAGTAGTAGTAACATTCTAGTAGCAGTAGTACGTAGTAGTAGTAGTAGTAGTAGTAGTAGTAGTAGTAGTAGTAGTAGTAGTAGTAGTAGTAGTAGTAGTAGTAGTAGTAGTAGTAGTAGTAGTAGTAGTAGTAGTAGTAGTAGTAGTAGTAGTAGTAGTAGTAGTAGTAGTAGTAGTAGTAGTAGTAGTAGTAGTAGTAGTAGTAGTAGTAGTAGTAGTAGTAGTAGTAGTAGTAGTAGTAGTAGTAGTAGTAGTAGTAGTAG